GAGGTGGCAGCAACTAGGGGTGGTAGAGGTAGAGGAAGAATGAGAGGCTTAGGAAGATCGTCATCTCAACCTCAACCTCAAGTCCAAGCCCAAGCCCAAGGCCAAACTGAAGCCTTTTCTTCAAATATCCAAGGAAGGGCACTAATTGGACCAAATCAAATGGCCCAACATGTAAGTGATATTTGAAGATGGTTTGATATTCACATGTTCTTATGTCATTTGAATAACCTCAATCACACATGTGAAAATTTGTTTGTAGGTGGTAGTAACTAGGGGTGGTACAAGTAGAGGGAGAATGAGAGGCTTAGGAAGATCATCATCTCAAACAGTGAGCAAAGGGAGAGTCACTGGAACAACCAATGGTGCATCATCTTCACAGCCACCAAACAAGTTACCAATGAGAAGAAGATGCACTACAAGATGAATGGTGTTTTGTAACTATTTTGGGTTCATCTAGGATTTAACTATGTTGTGACTGCTATTTTGGGGATACCTTCACTACAAAAAAAAAAAACCTTTTTTGCGAAGGCAAAATGATGTCGGAAATACCAGTTCTTTGTTGGAAAAACGTTGTTCCGAAAGCAGATGGCCGTCAGACGGCGTTGGAAAAGCGATCATCGGAAAAGGTACATTTTTTACGAGCCGTCAGAAAAGTTTTTATTTTCGACCAGCGATGTGTGTCGTAAATATTATGATGTCATCGGAAACTAATTTGGCAAACAATGATAATTTAGTATTTCCGATATACCAACATTGTCGGAAATAATTTGAACTTAATCGGAACTGTTTTTTATACGACGAGCTTTTGTTGTTGCCGACCAAACTTTTCTGACAACAAATCTTGTCTGAAATACTATTTCTGAGGACTAAATTTATTTCCGACAATGTTTGTTCATCTGAAATAGACATTTTCGATAGCAAAATTGCATCGAAAAATAATTACTCTTTGTTGGAAATAATGCATAGGATCTATTTATGAGGAACACAGGTCGTCAGAAATGTTATTTACGACGGTGTAGACCGGTTGGAAATAATGAAACGTGTCATCGAAAATAGACAATTACGATGGGAATGTGGTGTCGTAAATGAAATCACTATTCTCGGAAATGACTCGTAAGTTATATTTCTGATCAACATAGATTGTCATAAAAGTTTTTTTTACGATGAACAAGTATGTCAAAAATGTAATCAGACATGTCGTAAATAGAATAATTATTCTCATAAATATTACATTTTTATAATAAAATATATAAATAATATTTTCAATCAGAAACTTTTTTCATAAATATGTTTTTGTCATTCATTAATATAAAAAAACAAAACAATATTCATTTCATATCAACTCGTATATGTCTCCAAATTCTTAAATTTGAATATAGTTTCTAAGTCTGACATTACTAAATAAAATGTATTTGGGAGATGATAAAAGAACTAGTTGGGCTCCTCCACGACATTGTCACTAAGATAAGCATCAGAACAACTTGCAACATTGTCCTGGTATAATAACAACAAAAAACAAAGAATTATGATAAGACTTGATAGAATTTGAAAATGGGAGTAACAAATACAATTAAGAAGTAATATACATAACAAAAGCTATACCGCATTAGGTGATTGCCTTGCACAGTGAGCAGAATTTTGTGGGTTATTGTTAATCAGCATTTGAACTTGTTGTTGCAAAGTGTTCAATTGACTTTTGACATCATTCAATTCCTCTTTCAAATGCCCATGATTTTCTTCCAATTCCACGCACCTACGCTTATTACAGTTTTGGTTAGTTGAGGCGTAGTATACATCTTTAGCTTTGACGCCACCGCCTAAGCCAAGAAGACGACCATGACTAGGGGCAATCACCTCCTTATATATATCCCAATCATTGACATCAAGGTTTTCCTGTTCAACATCAGCCTTTTTGTTTTCTATTGTTTCCTAAAGTGAAATTATAAACACATGTTTCATATATAAACCCTAAACCCTAAAACTAATAAGTGATGATTAATTAAGCTACACTTGTCGAAGTCTAAGAAATAACTAGAATAACTATTGGTAATAGCAATAAGTAGTGTATATGTTTACCTTCCCTTATATATTTCAATCAGCATACCCTTTCCTTTTCCTCCCTTGGCCTTCCCTCTGCCTTTTTTTTTCCCAGCACTTAATCCTATTTTAAGAACAATAATTAATAACATAATATTATTTATAGTTTTCAAATAATATAAGCTATACCTTGGGTATATGAAGGTTGAGTCTCAAAGCATGTCTCTTGAGTTTCTTGTACTCCCTTATCATGAGCTGGTTCAATAGAGGCATGTTGGACTGCAGAGGATCTAAGTATGGAAAACCATTAGTTCTCTTACTTTCGTTACTTTGTGTTTCCTCAGTTGGAAAACCATTTATAACTTTCTTATTAAATTGTTAAATTATATTATTCCTGTTTATACATAATTAGATGTTTATGATTATTGTCCTAACTCGATTTTCCCCATTCATCAACATTAACACTTACTATTTTCCCACTTTTTTATAACAGGGTCAAGACCTCCATCAAAGAGAAGAAAAGTCATGAAGAAATTGCAAAACAAAACCCGCCCAATTAAACAGCATGCTGCTCAAAACTATCCAAATTTTGCTATTTTGATAGCTGCTTCCCACTATTAACATCTCAATGTATATACAAACATGTCTACTAGTAGCCTGTAAAATAGGTTAGTACTTCCTTTTTTGCAACTTATACTTCCATAGTTAAGCATAATGCTACAAGTTAAATCTCATTGTATATATAAACAATCTAATTTTGTCTATATAATTTCAAAACCCACAGTATCACGCGGGCTTTTTTGCTAGTAACAATGAAAACTGACACAGCAAATGGAATAGAATTTTATTTTCTTTAAACTCAGAAAGATATTGGTGAACCAAAAATTAATTTGAGCAAATAAAATAAAGGTTGAAAGTAAATACCTGATTTTC